TTTTTTTTGTGGGGGGGGAGGGCTGGGAGGGATTAGCATCAAGGCAATTTGTTTAAGCAACACTTTAAAAACAAGTTAATGCTATTTTTTAAAAGGTTGGGATAGTAAATCTTTTAAAAGTTGAATTGTAATTTTTATTTCATTAGACCTCTTCCTCTTTGGTTAAGATAAACCTGAAAATACTTATACACATGTGTAAAGTTACTCACATGCATGTACTCAGGATCAGGGTCTAACTCAGACGCAGGCCACACAGCTGGGAATACACAATACACAGACTCAAAGAATAATGTCAAAGTGGTACATTTTTAATCCCCTTTATAAAAGAAAAACATTGTGACCCTGCACTGATATTAATGATCTGTAATAATTAAATGGGCAGTTTTCACCTGTTTCTTTATAAACATTGTTAATATGAAGACCTTTATCCTTTAGTTATTCACAATTGCTGAACATGATGTTATCCTTATCAAATGTAACAAAACATTATAAATACATTTAGTCTATATATTGCATAGCTTATTTAATCACTGCAGGTCACCAGTGGACAAAGCTGAATATTCAAAAAGCAGCCATTTCATCAGTAAAACAGTGAATGGAAGAGTCACACAAATTATAATTATTCCACAAAATACTTTTAATGATGCAAAGAAGCCAAAGACAGTGTGCCATCTAAAACATGTTATATTGTAAATGAACCCAACTACATTCAGTATTTTAAAAGACATTTTAAATTGACTTCTAAATCCATGTCAAGTGGGCATCTCCCTGAGGGCAAGAGTAGAGCGTTATAGAAAGAGAGGGCACAGTATATAAATCCTCAATTACTGTACAAGAAGAAAAATGTGCAGGACTTGGATACTGTTGGCAATCTAGAGGAGTGCTTGAGAATTTGGGCTGGAATCTATACGGCAAGGAAGTCTATCTACTTAGTGCATGACCATGGTAGGTTTGTAGTTAAAAACAAACATTGATTAACAAAGAAAACACAACACCAAGTCAATGCAAAGTACACAGTCCAGGATATGTGGCTGGAGTGTTTTGGATCTGTTTGAAAAGATATGGAGTATTGGCAAGAAGGCTGACAAAAAGTACTACTGTTGTAGCTGTGTTAACCCCAGGATATTGGAGAGACAAGGTGGTTGAGGTAATAGCTGATGTTGGTCCAATAAAAGGTATTACCTCAAACAACCTGCTCTAAGAAGCACTACAATGATTAATCCTGTTCATGATAAAGGCAAAGATAAAGTCTGGAGCATTGAACTGGGGAAGGGAGTACATTAACCTGCCAGCATTCGGGCTTAGCCAAAAATTTTGGAAGTGATGGCAGCAACATACTAAGGGCTTCATCCAACTCTTGCTGAAGTCAATGGGAGCTTTTCCATATGTGTGTGTGATAAGGTCCTCCTAAAGGAGTACGCTACATTTTACATTAGCAAAACCTACAAATGAACTACAATTAGTCTGGGACTACAGCAATAATAAAGTCTTAGCAGCATTTAGGCATGACTAATATCTCATCCTTCAGAACTAAAGAAACATAAAAGAGAATAGATGCTACTGGTCTAGGTCCAGAAGAATTGAGAGATATATCTATATGTATCTGCATAACAGCAATAAACCTGACCAAACTGCCTACAAGTGCAGCTCAGATGAGGAACACACATAGCTAGTACAGATAGGTAATTCTGTACACTTAAGGTTACTTGTTGAGATTATAATTTTAGAGGGATTCATTCTTTATCCTTTCCTTTAACAAGTTCTGAGCCTCCCTTCTTCTCCACCGCTCCTCTTCAAATAAAGCAAAATAAATTATACTACACCCAAGATATCTCGATGCTCAAGGTACACTATCAAGGTGAAAGTCACATTAATAAAAATAATGCCCTAGCTACATTTCTCACAAGACCGAAGAACACTTTCTCCACCCAAATAAAAATTCAGTTTAGATACATATCAACTTCACTCTCTGGCTCTTTTGCACTAGCAAACACTGGTAGGTTAACAAAATTATTCATAAAATACCACTGAGGTACAAGATGCTTTAAGAAGTATAAAATGTTACAAGGTTCCTGTCCTGAGCAGTTTACACTGGCTCCAGGATTTAGGTAAAATTTCTTTTCCAGACCTTTTCCTAAAAAGAAATGCTGTTAATTAAAATTTTATATATCAGTGTAATAAAAGCTATTCTGTTCATAACAGGTGTTATAAACTCAGTTTTACAAAACCAATTTTTTCCCCAATTGTTTAAAAAAAAAAAAAGAAGAACTACACAGTTCCTTCGAGATACCTACCCAGCTGCCTAATCCCACTGGGAACACCCTTCCAATATGCTTTTGAATCTCCAGCACTACAGCTAATCACAGCCCCTCCAAGTGCTAAAACCAAGGCCACGCAAACTACTCCAAAAATTACAAGTATATCCAGGGGTAAAAGTAAGTCTAGTGACTTACCGGTACGCTGGGGCCAGCTCTGGCCCCCAGAAGGGGCGGGACATAGGGCAGAAGGGGTGTGGCTGAGGGAGTCAGAGCCAGCCCCAGCCCACTCTGTAGGATAAGTGCCCCCTCCTCCTGCTCCTCCCACCCTCCCCCACCGGGGTAGCAGCAGCAGCCTGGGGCTCCAGGGGCTATTTAAAGGGCCCGCGGCTCCCCTGCTTCTACTGCCCCGGCCCTTTAAATAGCTGCCGGAGCCCTGGGGAAGTGGCGGGGCTCCAGCAGCTATTTAAAGAACTGGGGCGGCAGAGGCAGCTGGAGCCCTGGGCCCTTTAAATAGCCCCCAGCGCCCCGCAGCCCTACCTCAGGGCTCTAGAAGTGGGGCTCTGGTGGCAATTTAAAGGGCTTGGGGCTCCAGCCCTTTAAATTGCCCCCTGGGCAAGCTGGGCCGCCCCCGTACGGCGCACCGGCTTACTTTCACCTCTGAGCATATCCCAATTTCCTGTTTCACCCACTTCTGAGGCTACTTCTCTTCTGTTCTTAGGCCTCTACAAATTCTCCAGTCTCCTGGTTTCAAAACATTCCCAAACTCTTTGACTTCTCATCTCCATGCCTTCTCCAGATGGCATCTTGCTCCCAAGTGACCAGACTTGCTGAGCACCCAATACTGGAACCTCTTGCAGTGAGGTTTGGCCTCTTTATGTATTTGGGTCACAGATTTTCTTTTCTGTTTATGAGGAACTGATTCATCCTCAACCCTTTTCGCAAACATTTTGTGAGTGACTTTTCTGCTCCTGAAAAGTGCTTGATTGACTACCCTGGGGAATCCAGTTCTTTATCTACAGGACAGGATAAATGTGTGTCACGCTGCCCAAGCAACAAGACTTTACTCTGATCTGGAGAGGCCACCACTATGGATAACAGGGTAATTGATTTTCATGGCCTTTCTCATGAGACTGCCAAAAAGGTGGGGGTTTGGAGTACTGTCCACTGGGAACTGGACTGAGACCACAAAATATATTTCACCTAGTTCATTAGACAGTCTCCAGATAATCACTCTACTGCCATCACTAGGGCTGGATTTGAACCTATGATCTAGAAGTGAAAGGGTCTATATCTCAGGAACAGATCTTTGATGTGTTCCCTAATACATTTCTGCTTGGGCCCAACAGCATTCTGAGCATTCAGTTTTTCCCCATTCCACCTGGCATGTGTCAGTGAAATGCTTCATTTACACTACATACAATGTGCTGATTTATGCTTTCCCCTTATAATTAGGAAAACAGTGTATGTTACCCACATGTCCACATACAAAACTATTAGGAAAATGAGCCTTGACCTAAAATACTTCCATGTGCCTTACAGAAGCTAGTTACTTTGGGAAATAAATTTACAATTAAGCAGAGTTCTTGTCAAATTGTGGGATTTGCCCCACACACATTTTTGGTTTTGCCAGTTTTATATGTTAAAACTAATGCATCACTCCTGCCATTAGGTGCCACTCCTGCACAGAAGAGTCCATTAGTCACTTGTCTACAACCTCAACCAGTACTGGTCCAATCAAGCCTGTAACTGGGTATGATTACTTTAACCAGTTGTTCCAGACTAGTTAGCTTTAAACCAACAATATTTTCTTTATGTCAGGGAAAGATTTAAGGTTTTGCTAGACAGATGCTAGCGAAGTATTATCACCCTCAATGAGTCATTTGATTGTAAAGAAAATAAAGATCCTAAATAAAAAAAAGATTTCTAAAGTATGTTGTAGGAGTGTTACCATACAGAGAGGTGTCCCTGAAGATTAAAGCTCTCTGTGTGGTCATAGAAGAGGTTCTGGAACAGGCAACAACCACATCCTTGATGTGGAGGAATCACCTGCACAAGTGAAAAGACAGCTCAACTTCCCTCTAGTCAGCTGGCCAACAGCTCAACTTCCCTCTAGTCAGCTGGCCAATCAACCAGGTTATCAGTCAGTGCCGATAGTTGGGGTGATTTTGTGCAATGGACCCTCATACACTAGAAATTGTGCTAACAAACAGCTCATTATGGACTCTTATGGTACTTTACATTTTCATAGATTTTTAAGGCCTGGGGACCAATATGATCATCTAGACTGACCTCCTGTATAACACAGGCCATGGAACCTCACCCAGTGATTTCTGCTCTGCACCAAGCCCACACCTTCTGTTTGACCTACATCATTCTCTCGGATCTTTCAGAAAGATATCTAGTTTTGATTTAAAAACTTCAAGTGATGGAGAATTCATTATAGAATTTTATGGGCTAGTGGTAAAAGCATGGGTCTAGGATCCAGGTGTTCTACATTCTAGTCCTAGTTTTGCCACTGATTTACAATTTAACTTTGGACAAGTCACTATCAATATCTCGCACATATACTGAATGGGATTAATGCTAATCTCCTTCAAGGAGGAGCTGTGAGGCTTAATTAGCTATTTGTAAAGCACCTGGAGATTCTAAAATGAATGATAGACGCTTGCTTTTCATTGCTAAATGACAGAGCACTGTCCAACGTGAGAAAAATGCTGGTATAAATTCTGACTGAGTCAAAGATTTTGACTGTGTTATTTATATTCTATATATATGAGAGAGAAGAAGCAACAATTTTAAACACTTTTGATAAATGAGTATAGAATACTGATAACAATCGGCCAACTGAGCAATATGTTTATAAACGTCTTGTAAATAATTCTATTTTCATGCACTCAGGAGTAAACCTGCTCCATGTTCTTCTGGCCAGATTTTACCATAATATCTGTTGCAGCATTATAGCCTCTTCTTTTGGCCTGTTTCACCGTTTAATTTTCCAAAAGATCCATTTTTCATTGCTGTATTCGAAAAGTTCCAGTCAACTGGAGTGAGGAGCTGCTTGGTCTTCTTGTATGTCCAGTATGGGTTAAGTATTATTGTAAGTGAACATAATCCCATGAAAAAGACAGTAAAATATGGAAGTCCCATATTTTCCACCACATCATTCCAATTGGAAATGCACACCCACCACATGTGATAAGTAATGATCATGCGACAGTGAAACAGGTGGATCATTACCCACTGGTTTGCCTTCCAAAAAAGGGTATTAGACCAGCCAATCTGGAAAAGACAACAAAGAGAAATGAGATTGCCTTACCTTGAAGCAGCAGTCAGTGTTTTCTATAAATAAGAGACATATTTAGCTTTCCTGTGTGTTAGATGTAAACAGCCATACAGACACATACGCTCAATCATTTTCCTCTGGAGTGCTAAGAGGTGCTGTATAAATGTGCAATCTTTTGTCCACAAGAATTATAAACCATTTCATAAATTATGGGCATCTAAGTTCCCCCTAAGCTGCGTGGCAGGCTATAAAGGGTCACCCAGGCACACAGCCAAGGGGACCTGAAGAGGAGAGAAGTAGGGGATGGGTGGGGAGGGGAGCAAGTTGGGACATACAGGGCTGCCACGGGCCTCGGCCCCGGAAGCTGCTGCCAGCAGAGAGAGGGGCCTCAGCCCCTGAGCTGCTAATGGCGGGGAGAGGGCTTGGGGGAGTCCTCTGGCCCCAGCCCTGGGGGAGTCCTCTGGCTCCAGCCCTGGGGGAGCCTACACCCCAGATTCCTCATCCCCAGCCCCACCCCTTGAGTCTGCACCCCCAGATGGATCCTGCACCCCCCTGCACCCCAATGCTCTGCCCCAGCCCTGAGCCCCCTCCCACACCCCAGACCCCTCATCCTGGCCCACCCAGGAGCCAGCACCACCCACATCACACTCCAAACCCCTTGGCCCCACCCCCACGACACATCAGCTCCATATTGGTGCACATAACAAAATTCATTCATACATGGATATAAAAAAATTACAGGGAACATTAATGGGCGTACAGTATCACTTACATATTCACATAGTCTTCCTCCATTAACCATTTAATAAACTATTCAAACAAAGCACATTCACAATAGTGCAGTGGGGGTTAGTAGGGTCTGGGAATTTTAGCTAACACCACTGAGGCAAACCATGACTCTCTGCCTGCTCTAGCATCTATATGCACAAAAAGTACGTCCCCGTTTCAGTTCTTATCAAAAGCACCTCAGAAGGGCTGAGGTGAGCTGTAGTTTTATAGAATCCAGATATTTTAGACCTGAAGTTTAAACCACTAAGGGCTGGTCCACACTAACCCCCCAGTTTGAACTAAGATACGCAACTTCAGCTACGTGAATAACGTAGCTGAAGTATCTTATTTCAAACTACAAGTTACTTACCACGGGTCCACACGCGGTAGGCAGGCTCCCCCGTTAACTCTGCGTACTCCTCTTGTGGAGCAGGAGTACCGGTGTCGACAGTGAGCACTTCCGGGATCGATTGCTTACCCGGAGGTAAGTATAGACGTACCCTAAGACATACCCTTTGGAACTGATTAAGGCTTGGGAAGCAGGGCTGTTTTCTTCTCTCCCTACAAGCATGGCAGATCTCTTCAAGTCTATCCTCCCTTCCCCACATCCACAGAGGATATAAAACATACATAAACACTCATGTGTGTGAGCACACATCTTTATTCTCCAGCAATAATGTTAAGGCTTAGATTACCGTTATTGGACCTGATGAGCCATTCTCATGGTACTATTTAGACTTAATAAAAAAATCTTCCAAAATTTGAATTTAATCATCTAATCTTTGGTCCTATGCACTGGATTCCAACAAGTGAGTCAGAAAATTATTTTTTTTAAATCTCTTTCATTTTGTTTCTTTGTTATGAAATAGGTAAAAATAAATAAATAAATAAATAAATAATTTTTTGTTTTACACTAGTTAACTATTTTTAGGGTGTTATAATTAAGGATTCCCTTGCTCAATTCATTTCCAGTTTAGAAGGGAAAAAAAATCTAACTTGATCCCAGAACTTATCTCCAAATTTGGAGACCATTATTTATTTGTTTGCAGATATGCATATTTGTGGGGAGGGGAGTGAAGGGGCAACATTTTTAAAGGAAACTTCTATCACCAGTAATTAAAACAAGATCATTAACAAGTTCTTACCTTTAAAAGTACCCAGGAGAAGCAGGTTGAAGGAGTGCTCATCTCAAGTAGCAGTCCAATCAGGGGTAGATAGTGTCCAGATTTTATGTTTGTTATCAGCCCAAGAAAGCCACCGAGGGCAAGTAAATGATGAACTACCAAGAATACATCAAACGTCTTGAAAATAATATTAGACAGATGAACACCTACATTTTCAAGCAAAAAGAAGCCAGAGGCTATTAAGCAATTAAACCAGCTCCACTTTTGCTGTGAATACACTTTGTCAGCTTGAAAAACTGGATCTATGAGCATGGCCCACAACCCAGCTATGCAACTCTGAACTCCAAACACGCCACGTGTGATAGTCATATTCCAGAAGACCTTCTCCTTTGCTGACAAAGCACGATAAGTAGCACTGATCCATGAGGACAGCCAGTGAGCTAAAAGAAATACTCCCAGGTAGATGAAAAAACCAGCTGCTAGTAATGTCAAACGAACTTCCCACAGAACATAGTCCCAGTCAAATATGGCTCTGGACATTGCACCATCATTGGCAAGATTCATTTCTTCCTTCTATACTTCAAAATATTGGGAGGGAGTCTGAAGCTTCTTACTCACACGTTGGTCTACTTAAGGCTGCTGAGCCCGTGCCATTACATACAGCAGGTACCCATCTGAAATTAAAACAAGAAGAAGAAAGGAGACTTGTAAAGAATGGCTCTGTGTGTGTGTGTGCATGTGTATATAATATAAATAAATAAAGCACAGGCACAGATATTCTTGAAGAAGTCATTTATGAAAGCTCACTAGTTTCACTACAGTAAAGACTTTGTCCTTATTGGTCTTTCTTCCCTTCCTGTTGCTTCTACATACATAGAATACACACTTTTTTTTAAATCTTCAAGTCTTCCATTGTCTTTCTAAATCATTCCTCAGGAAGACTCGGTTGACATGTTTTGCTAACACTAGTGTCAATATTGTCAACACACTGTTAAAATAATTCGACAGTTTATCTGCCAATTCCTTACAGAATACTTGGCAATTGTAATATGACCAATGTTTATTGCTTCTAACAAGGTTCACATTTCAAGTGTGAAGAGCAACAAGTACCATGGACATAAGAAGGGGGCCAGGGCAAAAGGAAAAACAAAACACCCCCCCCTTCCCCCAAAAAACTACAGACTTACAATTCTTTAGCAGCATGTTTAAGCATCACTGAACCTTCATTTTTCACCTGTGGAGCCCTCTGGGTCTGATTCTCATATACACTAAGGCCATTTTACAATGCCTGTAAGTATAAAGGAGCCTTGAATTCTCAGTGCCGAATAACATGGCCTCAGTGAACAGATAGTAGATATAGATATTATAGTGTATACACACACTTTATTATTTTGGCTATAAAAAAGAAAATAAGGAAGCGGAATAATACTGGAAATATTCTTTATTATATGTTCTGTATTAACAGACCTTTGATACACACAAGAATGTACTTTTTGTCTGTTATAATGAGAATTTTTTAAAATCTTTTTCTGTATTAAGTCCTATGTTGTGAAAAATAAATACAACTTTTCAAAGTTTAAAAATTAAAAAGAAAGGAGCCCTGCTTCATAGTTCTTTCTTCTGTGAGTTGTTTTAATTATGTATGCAGAATCAGAGGTGTGCATGTTGTTTTGTTTGCAATTTGGAATATCAGACACCAAAAAAACAAGGCATAGTTTGACAACACCTTATGCTAGTAAATGAGACTATTTACATGAGCAAAAGGCTTGCTGGGTCATCTCGTGAACAGAACTGCACAGTCAACTTCTGAACAGAATTAGACCACTTTCCGAAAGGCCATTTATTCCCGAAGCTAACTAAGAGAGTAGGACATTGAGAAACAAACCCTCTATTGTCTCCCCCAGCATCACAGTAATATCATTAACTATATAGTCCAGAATTTTCAAACTTGGGGGTATAAAGTTTCATTAAAACTTCCTCCACATGATGTGGTTTAAAGATGCTGAACTTTTTTGTTGTTTGTTTAAAAATATCCATAATCACCAGTTCATTTTGCTGATGCATCAGAGTGGAGTCAGCACCACCACTGGACACAGCACATCCTGTCAAATATGGCCATGGGAAGAACTGCCAAGAGAATATCTAATTTAACACAGTTTGGGGGGAGGCAAAAGAGGAAGTCATATGGATCGTTAGTAACATAAATAAAAAGAGTCTGCAAAAATGCTTTCCCTCCCTGCTCCCCAATATAATAAATCACAGAAAAGGGGGGCAATATCCTCATAGCCTCAGAGCAAAGGAATGTTGCTGATTTTTATTATCATTTACACCAGAGCAAATCCACTGCCTTGCATCTTGGACGAGTGGGAGTTAAGGATCCTCATTTGATACAATATTACACTCTCTCTGCACTGATGTATGCAACATGTAAGGAAGTGGAGAATCAGGTCCATTAACATAAGCATAGCTACACTGGTGTGAAGAGAAAGCCCCAGAAACATTTCCTCTCTAAACTCCCCACAAAAAAAGACAAAACAAAACACACTCACCCCACCCCACCTACATTCAGAACTCCCCTGACTTCATGGAATAACATCATACTTCCAAGATAGAAGCTTTCTAAGCACGTAACCAAAACCAGCAGTTAGTTAACGCTAATGCCCATTTCCTCCTCCTCACAAGAGGAAACAGTACAACACACAGAAAATATTTGCACAAGAAGCAGTTCAGGAGGGGGGAAAACAAAACAACAACAACGAAATAACCGTATGCGGGTTCCCCTAGGCCCACCCTTTACATTCAGAATGTCTGTGCTATAGTTAATAAAGTCCCTCTCCACCCGGCACCCATTGCTTGCTACTTACTGGCACACAGGCCTCACTGCTGGCTGTGAGTTTTCTCTCCGAGGCCCCTGTGCTTTCCTGTCATGCGCTCAACAGCAGCAATCAGCCGACAGCAAAACAGTGAAGTTCGGGCTTCTTCTTCCACCTTTGCAGAGGCAGCTGGAATGGAAGTGAAACAGCCTTGAGCCCAGCTCCTCACCGCAGCAAAGGGAGACACCCGCATACGGGATAATGTGCTGCTGCCGAAGTCCCACCCTTTGTTCCTGCTGACGTAAACTATCGGTCCCTCCCTGGCGGGGGGAGTGGAGCGCACTCAGTTCTCCCTGGAGCTTATTCTGCAGGGCAGGAGGGGGGTCAGGCCACACTCTGCCCTGGTGCTGCAGCCAAATTTCGCGTTGCACCGATTAAAAGGGCGATCGCCCGCCCCCTCAGTAGGGAGTCCTGACAAACCATTGCACGGGGGCAGTGTGTTGTCATTGGCAGCCGCAGCGAGAACCACTGAGCTGTGTAGAAACGTGGGAGCTGGAACCGAGGGACAGACCCCTCCAATACCCCGCTGTGGGGCAGGACGTGTGTGTGTCCTGCAAAGAAATAGTGTGTCACACACGTGGGTTGGCTGTATTGTACACATGTGCCGCACTGTGGTATCTTATTATACCAGGTCATATTTATTTATCAGGGCTGCCACGTTTTGTGCAACTTGGTGTGGGGAATTTCTCACGGAGAACAGTCAGTGATTTCCCTCTCCGGGTGCTCCCCCGCTGGGGCAGGGGTGGGGGTGCAGTGGGAGCCCCTATCCCATGTGGCCTGCTGAAGCAAGGCTGGGGTGGGGAGCCACGGGTATCGAGGGAAAGCGGTGGGGAGTAGGGTAGTGGAGGGACTCGGGGAAGGACATGAAGTAAGATGCTTGGGGCTTGTTGGGAGGGAAAGGGAAGAAGAGAATAAATTAACCGGCGGGGGTGGGGGGGGGGGAGGCTGGGCAGGTAAAAGAGCTTGGACCAGCTGGTGTCCGGAGACGGGTGGTTGGGAAGCATTGGGATCCTCACGCCTGCCTAATGCGGGGGATGTTGGAGTAGCCTCCCCCAGCCTGCATTTATCCCAATTAGCTAAAACTTTGCACCCCCTCCTCCTGTCTCTGCCTGCCCAACCCCCAGCTTTTCTTCTCCGGGAGTTCTCATCTCGTTGTTGCCTGGGGCACTGCCATCTCATATTTCCTGCTGACAGCGGCTCCACGCGGGCTGGGCCACCAGCGTGAGGAGCAGGGCAAGACCTGGTTAGTTTCGTGTCCGTTTCACTTTGCAGTTCTGCCCTAGCTCTTTTTTTTTGGGGGGGGGGGGGGTAGATTTTTTTTTTTTTTTTTAAATTTTTTGTTTTTTTTTTTTTTAAA